CCCCCCCCCCCCCCACCCTATCCACCCCCTCCTCGTTCGCCAGGGTGTGAGAACGTAACAAGGAGGACCTAAGATGGAGTACTGCTGCCAGGTGAGGAAAGAAGGGAGAGGTGTAGGGTTCAAACTTCAAAGGTCCCGCAACTGCAGAGAGATACAACTACGGACACCACGAAAACAGCAGCCACGGCACGAACGACATGAATAACAAGACTTGGAGCAGCGAGGCGAGGGCGCCTGCCCAAAACCTACGCCAAACTGTCCCCGACAAGGTGGGAGGCAGCAGCAGATCATGACATGGAGCATTGCCGACGGCGAGGGGCGAAGACAGGGGAAACAGGTCAACAACTTGTCGCCACTAAAGACAGACTTGAATTCGCCCAAAGGCAACGTAGATTCAGAAGGGGCTGAATGAGGGACAGAGGCCCGGTGCCTCTTCTTGCATTTGTATGACACTGGCTTATCCTTTTTTTTGTACTCCACGATATAATCCAGGGGGAGAAGGCTTAGGGATTTAGCCTACAGCCTACACTCACCAGTGGTCCTGCATGCATGCCTAAGCACCAGGCGGATTCACATCAATCAGGTGCTCTGCAGATTGGGGCAGAGGTACTGAAGGCTTAACTTGAATGACAACAAACATTGTCTAACATTGTTTAAACAGGTTGCGTTCCAAAGGGTGGAGGATGGGGAACGGGAGGTTTGTTTGCCGGAATGCACTGGGGATAATGATAGATCACGATAGATCCTGATAGATGAAAGCAGTCTTCAACACTATCGATTTATTTTATTTTTTTTACTATTTTATCACATAACATAGGCTGTCCTGTAGCCAAGCAATCCAGGTTACTTGGTAGCTGTGTAGCTCCAGCATACTTCCTTTTCCGAGGGTGGGCTCCGAGGGTGTGGGTTATGCAACTGATAGCGGATAGTCGCTACTACTAGTATCCGTTGTCTCCGAGGGTGTGGGTTATGCAACTGATAGCGGATAGTCACTACTACTAGCATCCGTTGTCTGTACAAACAAGCGAGCATGATGATGTTCTGGGACGCTGGACCCGGTTTCCAGCAGGTGCTGCTCCCCACCAATAGATGGAGCCTCGCCGAAAAGTGTTAGTGGTGGCTGCTCTTATCAGCACTCCTAACACTGTCTGGGGCTGTTCACAAAAAAAAAAA